ATGCCCAAGGTCTTGGCTTTCTGACAATGTGCTCGGCTTTTCTCTCCGACACACGGTTTTGACAGAAATTGCGGTTGTTTGAGGTCTTCTCCTTCTGCTTCCTTCCACTGATTTGAGAGTTAAACAAAGTCTGTGTCGCAGCTGTGTGCTTCTTGCAGCTGTGTGCTTCGTTGCCCGGCAACGCTCTACCCCTACTCCCAACTCCCCCTCCCTCTCTGCTCTCTCCACACAGATGAGGCTTAGGTTGTTCAAAGTTTTTAGTAGATTTGGTAATTATAAAATCATCATTTAAATCCCGGCACACTCCCGTGCCACTCTCAAATTTTCTGCAAGGAAATTTTCTAGTTATTATTATTATTGTAAACATTCATGTCACCTCTTGCCTGTCCTGAGTTCCTGTAATGGAAAGCCGCCGACTGTACGTGTTTTATAAAATGGTAATAAAGGATTTAAACATTCTGTGCATCAAACCCTACAGGATGACACATTTTCTATCTTAACTCATCAACATCATGCACTGCAAAGGTAACTTCACTTAGAGTTCACCCTGGAAACTTTTGTATGTTTCATGTAATAACATCTCATCATGTCTCAGATCCAGAGGCAGCAAACAGTCCCATTAGTGTTGGCTGTTATCAAGAATCACTTACTGTTCATCTCACAGAGGCTGTAATGGAGCAGAGTGACGCCTTCTGCTCAGGATGATGGAGACTTGGCCATTATACACACTGAGAGCCACGCTGTTGTGATTACATGCCTTTATGTCAAAACTGTCATGTTAAGTGTGCCAGTGTGTGTACATGTTTTAGCAAGTGTGTATGTGTGCAGTGCACACAGGACAAGTGACCCCTTCAATTGTTGAGGACGAGAAGCAAAGCTAAGCTCTGGATTCAGTTTCCCCAGTTTCCAAGGCAACATTGTCACTTCACACGCACGTGTGCGCGCACACGCACACACAGAGAATTTTTAAGCAATCACAGACATTACATCTCATGTATTCACTGACCCGAAATGACTGTTTTAACATGAGTGTTAACATGATAATGCTTGTTATTGCTTCATTTTCTGTGTTGTCTGGTTCAGTAACTTGGCTTTGAGCATTAAAAACAGATGATGAAAAGACACTGAAATTGAATCCAAAGCTTAAATCTTTGTAGTTTTCATGGATCAGAAGGAAAATATTGAACAATAAAGACGGATGATTTCCTCGACACTCTTTAGAAAAACCTAAAATCATCAACCAGAAGGTTGGGTCTTGGACGCAGTTGGGCGTTCCAACAAGACAGTGACCCAAAACACAGATCAACAGTGGTAAAGAAATGGCTATATCAAACACACACACACACACACTCACACATACATACATACATACATACACATAAAAGTTTGGGAAAATTATATATTTTGTTATTTTTTAAAATTAGAATTAGAGAAATAAATGAATACAACTCGATTGGCTAACAGATTGTAAGGGGCCTTTTTGACCTGTTAGGAGGTCGAGAAATACTATTTGGAATTATTAGCCAATGACATGTCCAGAGTTGACAAATGAAACCTTATGGTTACACTAAACAAACATAATTTGTTCCCAGTAAATCATGATCTCGTACTCTATATCACCGTTTGAAACTAGTTCGGACAAACCTTGAGATGGATTTACAAGCAAATGGTAAAGCTTTTCCTGATGAGCTACCAACATCTGTTCATGTATGATTTTATTTACTTTTAATAGAATTTTCTGAAATGTGTAGAATTTGGTTTCAAAATTGACCAGATCTCCCTTTAACACTGTCTTTCCCTTGATTCTCTGCCTTGTATTATTAGCTGGTGTTTGTCACTGAGGTACACTGGAAGCAGGAGCCATACATGGAAACCTCCTCTGCCTATCTGCAGTCTATCCTCAGTGTGTATGGAAACAACAACGCATGTCTGAAAGGAAGATAATTACAGTGCACTTTATTTGTATTTGTGAAAAAGCAGCAGCAGTGGTCCAGTCCTTCAAGTGAATCACACATGTATGAATAATTAAGGGTATTAATGAAAAGGTCCTCAGTGATTATAGAGCTGTTATGCTACAACTAAAAGAGTCATAGGAGCAATTGGACGACGGTGTAATCAAAGCTAACCACGCTGTCTGTGTAATTATAGTTAACGATGTTGTCATTAAGTGCATGGGTGTTTTATTGAAGATGAGGGATGTGACAGTGCGACGCAGGCTAATTACAGTGAAGGTTACAGGAGGTGCAGTGAAGCTGGGTTACAGCACCCGATCCTGCTGACCAGCAAGGTCATCAGGTAGCTGTGAGCTCATTTAATTGGCTCTGTCTGGTGATTCTGGCACGTGGAGGGCTCTTAGGAAAAATCTCAATGAGTGGATAGTCTCATTACTGCATAGACCCCACTGCGTCATGGTCATCCAACAACCCAACAACTGCAACCAAGACTGCTCAGGCCTGAATGTTGATCGGTTGCCAACATGCTGAAACACCATGGCAAAGAAAAAACACATTTACAGATGACAAAACTGGGATAAATTATTAGTGGCACAACTCTTAGTATGGCAGTATTGTAATTTTATTATCTCTTTTGAAGCCCAACTGAAGCTGACATCTAAAGCAGAGCCTGACAAACTGAGACCATCCTCTACTGCCCCACTCAGGAACAACTTCTTAAATAAATAAAACAATAAGTTAAACATATCCTGGATAAAAAAGTAGTCCACAAATATATGTGACTTAATAACAGTTTTTTTTTGTTGTTTTTTTTGCAGTAGCGATACTTTGCTGTTCTAAGTTTGACCTCTGGCTTAACAACAGCACTCGTGTTCTCTGTTCTGAATGTGATTCCAAGTATATTTTTTAGAAACAGGCGATGGGACTATTCAGTAATGTAAATGCTAGTACTTGTGTGCTCCTTTAGTGGCGTGCTCTGCAGCCATATATAAATATTATTGTGTTCAAGAGACCTCTTGTGGACATGTGGAGTACTGCTGAAAATCTGTGTAGCTGAAATTGCTGTTATAGTGGTTATTTTCTTTATGGCTCAGCACTTTGGCTCAATCATATATTCCGTTTACTTATGTTTCTTCAGAAATCTACAACTTCGCAAATTGATAATTGCTTCTCTTTTATTAGGAGAAACTGAATGTAACATGCATGTCTGTCTGTCCTTCTGTAGGGCATTACTAAAGACTGTTGAAGGTACTCCTGGATCGCCACAGTTTTTCTTTCAGAAGACTTTTGCTAGAATTGTGTGTGTCAGCATGTCTACATATCTACATACATATACAAGGTGTGCATATATAAGGAATTTTGACATTTTAACCCCAGCCCCCAAAATACATAAACCCATTAAAACTGCTATTTTACTCTATTTTGATTGTTGTCCTCCAAAGGGGACCTGACAGAAAACACTTGAAAACCACTGGCCGAAGTGGACATTTCAGAAACTGTAGTTTTTGGCAGTTTCATGCTGGCTTCATCTTTGTGCCTGAGAGGTTTCTGCTGTCAGATGACATGAATACAGTCCAAGAGCGTACAGTCAAGATCTCTGAGGTTGTGTTAGCTAAATGCAAATCAAGCATATCAACATTTATTTGCTTAGTTGGTTTATTTAGTCACAAATCAAAGTTTTGGACAAACTAAAAAGGTGACCAGATGGCACCAGAGGATAACCAAGTTATTTCAGTTCATGCAGAGAGGTCATAAATGTCCGAGTCAAATTTAACAGCAATCGATCTTGCAGTTGTTGAGAAATGTCTCTTTAAACACACACATCACCTGAGCTGGTAGATTCAGGCTCTAGGAAACATGAATGTTCATATAATGTTTATTTTCAAGTCTTTGTTGAGTTGTCGACATATTTCAATGGCACAACAGTGACTGAATGATTTTTTGGTCACACAAAGCCATCAAATACTTGAAAACTTGAGCTTCCTAAGCTTGATCACTGAAGTGTTTGATCAGATATTTACTGATTTGGTTAAGGAAATCGTTAACTTTGGATATGTGATCATCAATCTTTTCCACACAGATTACATTTCAGGTTCAGACATAAGCCAGTAATTACCACTCAAAAATAAAAACTCCAACACAGATGTTTAAATGCTCCTAATGTGGATGTTTGAGGTTTGTGCACCAAGAAACGTCATCTGCAGAAGGGGGAGCATTTCTTTAATCTTCAGAGGTGCATGTAAAGAGATGATTTTGTGAGACAGCTAGTTTGGAAGACAGTTGTGTTTCAGTGCGCAATTTACATAAGTGACAAGTATGTGATGTGACTGTGAGTATTTGAAATCTACAGTTTTGATTCTTTTTGAGACATGGTTTAGACTCTCTGAATAGAGCAGGAAGATGAACTCACTGTGGTCTGGAAGCTTCTGCTTGGTCTGTCTGCAGCTTCTCTCCTCCCTCCACCTCCATGGTGCAGTAAACAATACGGTTCGGAGCCACTGACTTCAGCCCCTGGACCTCCACGATCACAATCTGAAATCAGCAGCAGAGGGTTAAAACCTGCAGGTACCTCTTCAAATCAGCTGCTTAGTCTGAGAAACAACCCAAAATATGAAGTTTCCAATGACATTGTTATCACTGTTTTCTTGATTAATCGCTTTATATTGGACTTAACCAGCAAAATAAATCAAATAATTGATTATCAAAATTGCTGATGACTAAATAATCTAATCTGCACCAGCCTACAATGTGACATTCTTTCAAGTTTTAATGTGTTTCTTTTCTTTTTTCTTAACAAGGTAACTGTAGGAGCCCCATTTAATTTCTGCTGTTATTTATACTAATTCCTGTATTTGTTTCCAAACCACGCCCTCTACAGGTGAGGAGGGAACGTACTTTTAAATGGTTGGCTTAAGTCGGCGCAAGACGGAGGAAGGCAGGTGGACAGCAAGATACTGTCATTGACCTCAGCCACAAAGAGAAATGATTGTTTGCATTTATTGGCAAGAACACTTTTGTAATGAAATATATCTTCTTTAATGTTCAATAAACCCAAACCAACAGTGACCTTGGTATTTCTCTTTCTGTGAAAAGGCTGCGAGTGTGACAGAATTCACCATCACTTTTTTTTTTTTAGTGGTGGAGACTAATTTTGGAAAGAGGAGGTTAAAGAAAAAAGCCAAATTTTGAGTTTTTGCCACTTGAGTAACAAAACTGACTTTCACATGTAGTGTGAGTCAGTCCTGTGTTACTGAAGGACTTCGCCTCATCTAGGAAACACTTACCAGTACTTACTAAGATGGCTGGGACAACATTCAACTATTATCAGCTTTCAGAAAAGAAGCTGAGCCCACCTTCGGTTTCTTTTCTGAGCGGTAATTAAAGTTTGATGTGGCATAAAGAAAGCGAAGGTAAGGCCAATACTACACTTTGTGCATCCACAAGCACATCGAGGCTCTGTGTGTCATAAATGCAGACATCCATGTGCAGTCCAAAACTTGCATCTGTGACAGTAATGTGTAGGCATAGAATATCGTGACCTACTCTGTATGTAGGAATTGGAGTCCTCCCAGTGGACTGCAGCAGACCAGAAAAGTAGCTTAATGCCAACAGCTATGTGTCCATGGGGGCCACAGTTCTTCATGTTCGCAAGGGAGCATCATCAAGGCTTAAGTCTAAGTGACACTAGTTATGTAAAGTATTTTCAACAGTGTAATGCAATGCTTTACACGTTCCACATTTTATCATAAGTATGCACAGTGTGGAACTTGCATTTGTCTGGTTATTTGGTTTCAACCCCTCAAAGTCTTGTTCTTGTCATGGTAAAAGCTGTCTTGGTCTTGGTTTAGGTCATCTTGACTACAACCCCTTGTCACAAGTAATGAATCCATACCCCAGATTCAGCAGTTGTTTTGTCAGCCAGTTACCAGCAGATCAGGCATGTACACATCCACACACACCCGCTGATAGGAGGGGACAAACGGGTCTGTTGTCCCGGGCCCAGAGTGGCGGGGGGGCCCAGAACTGGACCCTCATTGCCTTGTAACGTTATTTGGCTAGCTCTTAATATCCATTAGCTGTGATAAAAATCCTGACAAAACACGGGTTTTTGACAGAAACGGACGAGTTTAGTCTAATATCATCTTGTCCCGGGCCCAGGGAAGGCTGTCAGCTGGCCTGCAAACTAACCTCCAGAGTGAAGGACAGCACGACATCTGATTTGGACAGGATGTCTCCCTCATCTCCCATGTCCAGGAAAGAGTTGTTCATGGAGGAGCGTTTGAGCTTCTGTTTGAAGTCTGGACCTCCTTTAGACACTGGCAGACTCTCTAAGTTTGCCATCAGCAGGTTGACTGATGAACGCAGTTCCTCCACATACAGGGCCTCCATATCAGCAGAGACAAACTTTGGGTATCTCCTTTCCTGCAGCACACACAAAGTTACAGATGGGTTAGTCCAGTTTAACCTGTAGGAGACTGTGAGGACTTCTGTAATATGTTATTAAGACATTGGGGAAATAAATTAATGACACTGAAAACTAGTTTATAGTGTGTCCCAATGTCTGAGCTGCAGAAATCAAGTTGGGAGAAAAAGTTTGAAACAGACAAGATGTCACAATATGATGACCCTATAAAAATGTTAACGAAAATAACATATAATACTTTATCTCACCCTGGTTGGGAGTGTTACAGGATGTTGTGTTGAATATTTTACTTTCCAAATTCTGTGTATGAAATACAGATAGAGATATTTCTCCAGCCACCCTGGACAATTAACAGCTGTATATGGCATCTACTTCAGCCAAAATTTACAATTCACTCTCTTTTCTACATCTAGCTTCACCTCCACCAACTCCTGAAGAAAATATCTGGCTCTCAAGGTGTTCTACTTGCTTCACCAGCTGCTATTAAAAGGCCAGTTCATAGTTCCTGCATAATCAAGCAGACTTTAAAGTAGGCAGCAGACACACACATAGTTCAACTCAATCTACAACTAGATCTGTCTGCTATGCAGCTGATCACACTGCTGCTAAGCAATGGATTTTTCTTCATTCTTTTTGTGGATTTTTCTGAAAGGCTGCCTGTTATTTTGCACTTCATGCAGGATACAGCAGTTCCTTGTAGTTTGGGCTGCATTGCTGTGTAAATGTGATTATTCATGAAACATGCCAAGCACAGTGGGCAGACATAGCACAGAATTTCTGGAGAATTTGGAACTATGTGAATAATGTCGAAGGAAAGATTTATAAATCAAATCTCCTCTATAGTCCAGCATTGACAACTTCAATTGCAATTCTTTTGATAATGAATCCTAAAGTTGAGGATAAACAGGAATGTTCTGGGCACCCCAGTGGCTCAACAGGTTGAGCAGGCGACCCATGTACAGAGGTGGAAAGTCCCCGACGCAGCGGCCATGGTTTGAATCTGAACCACAGATCATTTGCTGCATGTCCTTCCCCAATCTTCTCCCTATATTTCCTGTCTCTCAACTCTTACTAGAAAGGCCTAAATGAAAAAAAAAAACTTCTAAAGAAGTCTCTCCTCATAACAAGCATGTGTTTTAAGCAGCATCTGTTTTCCTTGCACATGAAATCTACAAGCTTGCATTGCATATAGTCAAGATTCAAGAGGTTTGCTGTCATATGTGCAGAAAAACCACATAGTTGTTCTGTACAAAGAAATTCTTACTTTGCTCATCCTCCTTAACCAAAATCTACATAATGTATATTAAAAAAAACAATTAAATCAATTTCAAATAAATAAGCAGACTTGATGTAGCAGCAGCAGTGGTTGTAAAGCGCACAGTGCATTTGTAAACCTAGTCTGTACAGTTGCAAATTTGAGCCTGCACACAGCCGAATGTGGACGATGACAATTATGTTTCATGTACTCTTGCAGACCCTAATGGAAGCTCACATGTGGAGAGCATGAATTGGCCTTAGTTTTCTGTCTGCAGGATTATCAGAGCATGATTGATTAAATAAGTTGTCAGCTGCTGCTAACATTGAACCGGACAGTAAACGTGCAGCAAAACAAAACTACAAGTTAAATGACACTAAAAAGCTCTGCAGAGTTAATTCCCAGTGGGTTTACTAGCAAGAGACACTCCTCACATTGGACTAATTTCTACAATATTAAATAGTGCAGCTTTAAACCTAATTTTTTCTACCATTAGGACATCATGTGTTTGCATTTTAGTGGCTGCTGATCGGTGATATTTTTTATTTGGAAATTATGTGACCTACATAACTGATTCATTAAAAAACTAAACAATATCAGTAGTCCAATAAGGAGTGAAAATATTGACATTTCTATTTTCAGTGAAAAATAATACAAAGCAAATCGTCAATGGAAGTAGACCAAAAGCAAAAATATATTTAAGTATTACACTTGCACAAATAAAATACATTTTTTTGTGTGTATATCTTACCCTGGCAATTTTCTCGGCCAGTTGTAACCTGCCGTCCAGCTCTCTGCGGATCTGAGCTGCCTGCTCGTCCACGTTATCCAGCTGGGAAAAAAAAAAAGAAGTGCCATCAGTCAACCAATCAAAAATCTGCAAAATCAATACACTAATCAAAAAGGTGAAGGAGGGACACAGCGGGAGAGGTGCTGGAGAGAAGTGGACTTCTCTGTTGCGTATTGATAAATCAATCAGCAGCTTAGGTGGCGACAGATGACAGTAATTAGCCAAAGAGGAGTGTCGATACGAGAGGTTTGTCCACTTCATCAAGATGGTTACAGGAGGAGACTCTCAACTAATTATGAATGAGAGAAGTTCAACCCTGTTTGTCATAAATAAATC